AGTGCCTCGAAGTGCCTTAAACCATGGCGAGACTACGCCATATTTTAGTATGATTGGTAAAACGTCAGGAACACCGATGAAGAACCTGGTACTGCGCAACTGACTGTTTGTATTAGTCATATCAATTGAGAGAGTACCTCAAGTCAGAGATGCTGTCATTGATCAGGATGTCGATCTGTCACCAAGTGATCAGTTATATTGTAAATGGAGAGGGTTTTTTCCAATATATTTGAGTTTCTGCTCATGTCGTTACTTACTGCTCCCAAGCTCTAGTACTTCCCAAGATATAGACCACCAAAGTGGCGGAAGCCAAAGCAACTCATCCTTTTGACCTGTCACTCATTCATTTGAGAATTTCCACTCACTTAAGATACACACACGCATCACACGATCCCTCTACACACTTCCACAACGCCAGCGTTGCCATGAGCCCATTACCTGACACGATAGACGCACAAAGAACCTCACGGCCGAGGAAAGGCGCGGAGCCTATGAGAGCTCTTAGAACTCTCTGTCGGCGGCAAGCTTCCGTATGGGGCTTTCAAGGCCCAGTCCCAGCTATATGACTGCCACTGGCGTACCATAGCTCGCCTGTGGAAGGAAGGACGCAGCTCCTTGTCCGACGGACGCGCCATCGCCGATCGGGTCAAAAGTCAGAGGGAAAACCTTTATAAATCTATATTTCGTCATTTTGTACAATATATTGAGGGATTATATTAAAGAGGTAAACTTGATTAGGCAATTCTGGACGTAAAGTCGGCCGCACCAACGAGTTGAAGCCGTCATCCGAGCAGTGCCTCAGCATGCGCGACAGACAAAGCGCTCGTTGGAGCGGCACTGAAGAAATATTCTATCATAAAGAACTTGTCTTTGTTCAATGTTGAATGTAACCCTTCCAGCATTGAAGAGGCATTGTTTCGAATGGAATGCTGCCTTGGCGACGAACACTTCACTTGGACGCTATGGTTAATTGCCCTGATGAGTAGTAATTTAATTCGTTCAATATGAACGCATTAAATTCACCTCGACCAATATGCGTTGTCGGAGACGTATACAAAACTCAATACACTTCGATCCGAGAGGGTATAATGAAACCAAGTGAAAAACAATGGAACAATCAAAAATGGACCAGAGTAGTAATTAATGTCCGATAAAAAAGCAGCAAGACTTCGGAATTTGTTTTCTATGAAGAGTATATTGTGCTTTCTACTCAACATTTCCTTCGGCGGTTGGTTGATGTGAATCAACCGCCAGAGAACCGCCGAGCCTGTTATATATGATAAACATATTATATTTAAGAGGAATTTGACAGGCCTTCGAAAGTTCCTCCCTCAGAACGAACATGGACACAGACATTGACAACGAGAAAAGGTAGCGGCTACAACTCCTGTGCGCTAGGACAGAGCACGTGCACGAGTTTCGCCATACCCAGAGCACACTCCGGCATCAACGCCCTCTCTGTATCAACTCGTTCTTCAGCCAATCGTCAAGAGATCACTGGGGCAACGCGACAACTCTGGACAGAAACTGGAGGTGTTTGCCGCAAGCGGGACAACATTCAACGACATTCTGGTGAAGTTGTGGGACAAATTTAGTACTTATGGGCGTGCTGCCTGGTTGCCGCTTGTTCCATGCCACAACCGCACAAAATGACTAAAGCATTAGCCAATCAAAATGCTTCGGATATTGTTCGGCGGTTTCACGATTGGCCCAAAATTCGTAAATTTGGCCAAAAGACACAATACCACCTCGAACAAAATCTACAGTACAATAGACAGATTCCGCAAACGCAGATTCTGTTCTATCTGTATCCTGTCCTGTCAAATTCGATTAGTTTGGAACTAACCTGTACCAACTTGTTGCAGCTGATGCCAAAATCGCACGATGTTTCAACCAGTACTTTGCTCGCCGCATCCGCATAACACTTCACTTTGAGCCACCTTTTACAGCCATTATGTCCGACGAGGTGCTACCAGTCACCGACGATCTAATCCTCCTCACACAGGCGAACAATGACCTTCCTTTTAACATGCTAAGAACACAGCCAAGGTATGGGACAGTGTCGCAGCCAAGCTGCTGCAGTTACCATCCTTTGCAAAGAAGAGGCCTCGACGGAAAAAAGGCGTCAACGCGCTTTTACCATGTGTTTCGTGTTCACAGTATGTTTCAGGAAAGTTCAAAATACCTCTCAGGAGCGGCACAAGGCGTCACAGGCAAGATAGTGCTGCTTGACGAGTTGCTCCAGGTGAAGATGACCATGCTGACCAGCGGCAAGCCGAACGAGCTGCAGCAACGGCGGCAACCAATGAGAACGAAGAAAATGTGTCGCAAATCCGCGACCAAGCAATGCGTCGAGGCCGCCGCACGTCCGTGGATCCTGACGATTCAAATGACAGAGATGTGGTGAGTCGGAGGCGCAAGGCGATATTTGAAACCCAAGATCGCCAAAACGAGTTGGAGCACGAGCGGCTAAAGTTTAAGAAGCACAAGTTTAAATGGAGCTTCAAGAGCGTGAAATGGATCGGGCGGAACGAATGCAGCAATGAGAGGACGAACGCAAAAGGACGGAGGATATGATGACACTCATTCGCCAGTTAATCGAGATGAATAAGCATTAGGCAAATATAGGTTTTACTTCACGTTGGACAACATTCATTGCACACCAAATATAAGAACACCGTGCGTTAGTAGTAGTTGAAAATGTGATAAAGAACTAAATACTCCTCAAGCTGTGGCGGTGGCAAGTTGAAATAATCACAAATTTGATTGCCGCGATAGTAGCAGCAGTGGCAATTGGTAAAAAGCATTGCACACATGATTACCTTCCGGACGCTTTGAAGCATGATCTTTTGTTGCATTTTGTACCCCACCATTGCCCAATGTCCTTTCATAATTGCAAAAGACCACTCGACAGATTGGCGGACTTTGCTTATAGCAGAATTGATGTTTGCGTCCAACTCATTCACCTTGTACACCGAGCAAATCCAATCCAGCACGCCATAGGCAGGGTTGCCGTAAATTAAAAATCCAGCAAATATACTTCGATTTTTGTCCAAACACTCTTCGAGTTTGCTCAAGCGGAGCAAGGTCGTTTCATGGCGAGAGCCTTCAATCGGCCCCCAGAAGTAAACGCACAATCTGTCAGGTGCAGCAACAGCTTGGTAGTTGAGAAAATGCCGCCGTTTATGACCACTGTAAAGCAAACGATGCAGATCAGGCAGCTGATTACCCGCGCGATAGCGCTTCTGCGTGATGCGACACATCACGATATTGCTGCCGTCAATGAATCCAATGACGTTGTCCATCATGGAGCCTTTCATTTTGATAGCTGCAGCGTACTTTTGCAAACGAGACGCAACGATCGGCAGACAGAAATACAGCAGAGAGCTCCACATTGCAAACAAAAATGTCGATTGTGTTGTTAAATATGCGACCGAGAGCTTCATGGGATCAGCCAAAGGTAGCCATCATATCATAGAGGCGACGTGGCTAAGACATGCGATACAATGTGATACACAGGGTTTCAGTTGCCGTGCACCGATCGCGTGCTGCAGTGATGGCAACGTCGGGGGGGGGCAACGCAAGAACGAGGCGTTGGACGCCGTGGACGTCAATCTGGCATCGGCATCTGACAAACTTGGAGGTCAATACGAACGTCCGGGACCAAAGGTCTCTCCACGACGAAAGCAAATAGACGAAACACGCGTGTGGAAGTTCGCCCCACGTCGCTTCTTAAGAAGCACTTCGATCTCATTGCACGACAACACTTTGGTAGGTGGTGGGCACTCATCATGCCACTAGTTGATTGGGTGAATTTAGCGGATAGAACCAGTATGAATTGGATGACCTGCATATTCGGTGGTTGTGACGTTTCATTCTATCCGTGTTTTGAATTTTAGATCACAGATACAATAGAACCAGTGTTTTCGAAATCTGTCTATTATAGCCGGTATGCTTGAATTTGCCAAACTTGCATGCGTTAAGCAAGGAAGATGGTTGAATTGACTCGGTTTGAGGCATCGAAAGTACAGGAGGTGTAGGAAGGTTCTGTGAAGTATTTGTCAGGAACGGAAACCGTAATCGTGCTTCAAAATACCATTTCAGGGAAAATTGCCGAATGGGTCTATTCTTGTGGCGCGAGATTTTGAATCAAGTTGGCCAGATTGGCCGATCTGGTGCATGAAGGGCGGCAAATCGCATTCTACAACTGTAGTCCAATCAAATGCATCGATTGGGAGAGCTCAATCGTTTATTCGTCAAAAGGGGATCACAAAAATATGGGTGTGTCTATTCATGTGACGCGCCGTGTATATGCGCACTGCGCTTCAAGTTTTCTAAATGCAAAAGAAGACACATCCTATGTGGAAACGAATTTGTGTGGGGAATTGGCCAACTGAAAGGCAACGTCGTGGCGCGAATCATGACAAAATTGGTCAACCGCGCATCATGCCAAGGAGTCCCAAGCTGACTGACATCGAAACGGGTAAATTTTGGCCCGGAAGCACGAAAAGATATCAAATCGTGAGATTGGACATTGACTTAAACAACTTGAGTCACTAGTGCCTTCGCACGTGTAGTCCCCGGATACCTACGGTACGAAGAACCTGACAGGAAGACATGTCATGTTGACAAAGCTTGACATACGTGAATCTACCGAAACTTGTCGCAGCGCAAATCGGTGCGGGTGACTGTCCGTATTGTGCTCAAAGTGCTGAAATCGAGCAAGTTCATCAAATACGCGAAGAATAAACCGGCACCGTATCTGAAGCAGCATCAAAAGAAGGCGCGTCGAGCTTTTGCTGCAAATCACATGGCGAAGCTGGATTATTGACGTCGAGTTGTCGTCTCGAGCGAAAAGAAGTCAACTTGGGCGGCCCGGATGGATACCGTGCGTAATGGCGTGGCCCCCGTGGTGATGAAAGCGTCATCGGTGGAAGCAGCGTTGTGGGGTGCCGTGAGCTTGTGGGGGAAGTTGAACTGAACGACGGAAAAATGGCCCCTGTGGTACTTCACCATATTGTGGCACTGTTCAATCTGCAAGTATAGATTGTAGTATTTATAACTAATGGATGACAAGTATTTCTATTACCTAGTACATGATATCATGCATGATTAATTTTGGACATACTATCACTTCAATCCATGAACCTGGTTACTTTACCCTCCTTGAAAGGATAATATGGCGAATCCGACAACTCCATCCGACAACGATCTGATTGGCTATTTGATGTCGTGACAAAAAGGTATTGATACACCAATTGCAATCCAAGAAGTAGAGGGGATACCCCCTCTACTTCTTTACTTAAATTGGTCCGCCTAGATTACAAGGTATTCAAGATTTTCCTACGCCTCACTTCACGCAGAATCATGCGTATGAACTCGTAAACCCTTGATACAAGGCTTCAAAATGTTGGTAGGATTGGTACTTGCTAAATGCTATCGCCAAGGTAAGCTGCTCAGAGTACTTCTTCCGGTCGACGCGAATCATTTCCTTGGTGTAGTCTTTCAGCGCACACACCAAGCCGACAGCCGGGTCGGCAACAAGCAATGATTGTCAACAATATATTTAAAATATATTTACTGGGCCAATAAATATTGGTATTTTATTGGCCTTTCCTAAATTATAAAAATAAGTATTGCAATAAATCTCTATTGGTCAATAAATATTGCACTTAAT